TGTAATAACGTATAATTTACTATCTTTTATAGAACTAAATGTAATAAAAATATTATTTCAGAATCCTTTTTGTTTAGACTTAAATGACTGAAATTATATCAATTTAAAAATAATGTAAAGAAAACGATAGCCATTAGTTTACTTCTGCCTGTAATTGTATTCAATTTGAGTTAGATTTTTGGCAGAGTATATCTAATATAATTTAATTTAATTAATTAAAAACTGTGCTTTTCAGTGGCCGTTTTTCGACAGCCATGAATTACAAAAATATGAATTTTTATAAATTTAAACATACAAAACACTACTATAATAAACATCTTTAAAAAGTTTATAAATTATTTATTAATTTTATTATCTAATTTTCAAATTATTTTTAAATATACGAACGTGTTATTTATTTTGTTTTAAAATTTACTTCAGTATATATTAATAACTATAATTTGTAGAAGGTGAAAGCTATTGTACAGCACCTTGTTTCGTATGCAAGAGAATAAGTTACGTTTTCGAATGTCCTTATCGATCGTTAAATTCGCATCTTTATGTTTATAAAGTTCTGAATAAGTCAGTTGATTAGAAATTTTTTTTTACGTACCGTTAAAGTGACTCTATGTTTTCGTAGAAAACCAGTTATTTATTATTTTGTAACATTTCTCAGTAATTATAAAACGATGTATTGGTAAGCACATAAGTTTTCATTATAAAAAATTCACTATAAAATATTACTCACAATTACTCTTTATTGTCAAATATATATTACTTGTATTAAAATTACTAAAGTCTGGATTAAATAAAATTGTACTGTACGTGACATTTGTTTTAACCTTCATCTTAAATCATAAAAGTTATCTTCCAAATTATTAAAGGAGAAGAGATACTGATAATGTTTATATACCATAATTGACTAGTCAGTAAACATTTAAAGAATTGACACTTCAGTGAATTCTTGTCTCATCTTAACGGGATTAGCATAGAAATACATAGAATCACGCGGGCTATTTTCAGAAGTGTCAAAATTAATTCCAATAATGTTTATTAAATAGAGGTTTATTACAATTTATGTCATACAGGTGGCTGCTTTTGAAACAGTTACTACAACAGGTCAGCGTTATGCTAACCTGGAGGAAAGGCAAACGTTATATGTTGTGACATTCACAGAGGAGAAAGCACCATCACGTGTAGCTTTACCTGTGAAGCAACTGTTACTATCTTTGTTTGAAGAGAATGGAATGATAAGCCGTCACTTACAGAATGAATAGGCATCTAGGTGTCCAGACGCGATGCCCTGCGATTTTTGGCTCTGGACTACCTGATTTTTTGTAAAGTCAATGATGTTGGGCGATCCCGAAGATCGTCCAACATCATTGACGATGGTGAAATCTATATACAATGACAGCGTTAATTATACCATCAGAAATGTTATTTCATGTTGTCTATAACGTCACTGGTCTTCAGGCTGTGCTGACAACGAAGACCGCAACATTGGCATTTGCTATGGTGCGGTTCATTATCACGATATGAATCAACGGTTTACTGGTGGTCATAATGAGAACTAATTTCGACACTTTGGAATAAACCCCGCTTGAAACTATCATTTCTAAGCAAACCGCTTACCACATGTCAAACATTCACTGAAATATTTAATGACTGAAAATTATTCAAATGGTTAATGACTTTCGAATTTCAGTATTTTCCACTAACTTATTATCATAAACCGATAAGTAACATAGTTTAATATTAGATATAAAACAAATCATATGAAATAAAATGTAACTCAGGAATTACGGCGATTTAAGGATTACGGCGAAAATTTAAATTTGCCGACTAGAATTCTTAACCGTTGAAATTTTTAAACCGTTGGAATTATTTTTATAAAACTAAGAGCAATTAAAAAACACTGTATAATTTGGTTTGTTTAATTCTTTTGTTTTTTTTACGCTCTATATTCTTGGTTTTACCTTTTATAAGATTTTTTCTTGTGCTTATGTGTATTTCTCGTTTACTCTCAAAGGGATATAGTGAATTAATTTTCTGGTTAATCAATTTAAATCATATATCTCTGCCACAGAGTGCCACATATTTTATAGTAAAAATACACGTAATAAAACAGTAAATAATGGAGACCACCCATAGAGTGGCATTTCATTACAGCTGCACTGCTTCGAATATATGACCATGTTTATAAATTTAACATAAACAAACTTATAAATAGTACAATTAAAATTGTGAAATACATTCTTAATTTATTGCAGAGTTCGTCTTCTGGAAATACGAATCTTCTGGCAGATCATATAAAAGAAAAAAAAGTTTTCTACACTCGATCAAGGATTTAAACATACTTTAAAAGGAAATTTCGCTTTAATCGGTTACGACACAACTCTTATGATGCTGGTAAATGAACACGGTTTCGAGAAATTCACAATTTCTAAGGATTCTTTTTCTTCTTTCCCTTCTGCCTATATGTCAATCGTGACGTTTCCACACAACAAAGCCGTGTCTAATATGTAAGAGGTTTGATATTTAGTCTATTGATATATATTAATAATTTCTTCAGTTGATCTGTGACAGTAGACTTTCTCTTTATCTAGAGTTTCCAGGAAGTATGAAGTATCATCGATTATCATAATACTAAACCGAATATGAAAATGGCTGAGATTTCAAAGGTTCATCCGTTGGACATTGAACATTTTTTTGGAGCTATATTTTTGATTTCCATTGGCTATATTGTCTCTACCATCTGTTTTATTTTTGAATTGTTATATTAGAAACAGTAAATATCAAACAAAATGAAAGAAATTTTGTTTTTATAATTATTTTTTATTATTATACAGGGCACGACTTTTGCGCCATGAAGACAAATAAAACAATTGAAACCGACCTAAGTTATTGTTTTAAAGTTGTAAACATGTTTATTCGTTTAAAAAGTGTAAAATACTAAAGTTTAACCCTTGCTATACGTATATATTATCCATGTTCTAATTCTGTAGCTTGCTTTCGTTATTTATAACTTGTTTGTAAGCGATTTTTACAGCTTTAAAAAAGTTTAATTATTGTTTTACTTAATAATGTTACTGCATTTGTGAAATTTATACAGTTTATATGTTTATAGAGTAAAACCTGTATAAAGTGAAAACTTGCCTAAACGGAAAGATGATTTGGATTTAAAAAATTTCCAGTTAAAATACAAGACAGAAAGATTTCCAATGCACGAACTGAGGAGGTTAATTGATGCGGAAAATTTAATTTAACTTGGATACAGCGGAAAATAAAAATTCCGCTCGTAGTCAAATAAATAAAATCGTCTTAAATCTAGAATAGTGACCTCAGTGCATGACAAACTATATTTCGAAAATGGCTTGAACTTTTTTCAGAGAAACCAAGGCACACCACTTTCCAACTGGTTCTATTCCCTGAACACTGGGAGTTCGGGTCATGAATTCGCGCCATGCCAGACAGGCTGGCCACTGAGATTTCCAAGTTTTCTCCACCGGAATACAAGCCAGACCCTTAAAAAGATTTCGAGAAAAGAATTCCCTTTACGCAGATCGCATAACTGTAGCATTGCCGTAACTGTAAATCTTACCATAAATTAAATAAAACTTCACTGATATATATTACTTCAATAAAGAATGTGTACAAGTTCACAAGCGGCTGGAGATAATATCACTGAGGGTTGGTACAGTACAGTACCTGGCCAACGGGATGGCGATGTGAAATTATCCGGGTTTCTTCACATTAGTAACATTTTAATAGGGGACAATTCCCATAAAATATTTCACGGGAAGCATCAGTCCCTCGAACGCATACACAATCTTCGGCAAATCGTCCAAGTGTCGTTATAGAAATAAAACAAATTATTAACATTGAAATGTCTACTTAGTCTATGGGACTTTTAATTGCTTAGCATTACGTTACGTGTACTTTTCATATTCCCGTAACGTAATAACGGGGTTTGACTATTATAATTTACGTATCTTACAACTCAATACTTACAACGACTTGTGTTTTCTTTGATACTGTATTAGATCTTTTAATTTTGTTTAGTTTTAATCATTCTATGAAAAAGATTTGAAAGTGACAATACAATATTTAAACAGAAAATGGCTTCTCAAACGGGAATCTAAAATGTTTTCTGAAAGATCTTAATATTTAAAAATTGGTGATTTTTACAGAAATTTATAAGTAATAAAATTAAATATTTGTCTACACCCCTACACAGTCTAGTTAAGCGCGCTGTCGTAGGCGTTGTTTTCGCTCTATTCCAGAGTTAACATTTACAAATATGACAGCTGTCGCATATTGCAAAATATATAACAGAGAAAGTAGGGCGATATGTCAAAAATTAAACCCTCAAAAATGTTTACATTTTTGGACTAGGGGACCTTTAAACGTCGAGTTAATGCGATAAAAAAAATCGGGGGTAATTTCTGTATGTATGGATCTTAGTGTGTGTTCGTATGGGGGCACTATTTTAAGAAAAGGAGGGCACAATTAACTGTTTATGAACTTCCTATGAAAATCGAAGGTTACGTTATTCAAATATTACGTATTCAAATATTTTTCCCTGTAAGGAAAAAATATTTGAATTGATATAACGTCCCTTATAGGAACGCATAACGATATAACGTCCCTTATAGAAACGCAACATTTGGGGGATGTTCCTATGAAAGATGCTTTCCGGGAGAACTTTTTAAGGTAACTGGCTCCTATTGAAACTTTACAGATGTAGAGAAAACCCGGAAAACCCTACGTGGCCAGCCTGTTTGGCGAGGCGCAAACCCACAGTGCCAGTGTTCAGGGAGCAGAGCCGATTAGTCATTGGTGGACACACATATCTTTTCAAAAAATTTTCAAAAATATGAATTTAAAATGGAAAATATTAGCCATTTTAATTTATTTACAAAAATGATTAAAAATAATGTAAAAGTAAATTTTCACGTACGTTGAACGAAGGCGCAGGTGATGTTTTCGTGTGAAATGTTATATAAAACGAGTGACACATAGCAGTACAGTACATATGTTTTAAACGGCTTTGCATAAACGACGTATAAGTAGTTTATAAAGTCCATTATATTTTAACACGTAGCCGTAGTTTGCAGTGAGGTAAGATTTTTTTCCTCTTTTCGTATGTTACAGAAAGCTTTAGAGTGATTAGAATTAAATTGATGGTTTTCAAACACGCGTGGAGCCTGCTCTACAAAACCGAATAGAACGAAACTAGGTACATGTAGTGTACAAAGCAGATCGTGTGTAAATTTATGAGAAAAAATTAATTGAAACTGTAACCATCGGGCAAATCTGGCGTTGTTCAGTCGAAAACGTGTTTGTGGCTGTTTTTTGAAAGATCGTGTATATTACATGCGGCCGGATGAATAAAATCACTACACACAGATTTTAGTGCATGTTCGAACAGCATTAGGAATAATATAGCATAGTTAATTATGTGCCAGAGTTAATTCTACACTATTTTATTTGTCACTTTTACCAATTTTTTCTAATGCTTTAAAATTATTACAACCGAGAAACATAATGTGATCAAATGCAACTACTTAATTTCATCTCATAACAAGTTATATTTTTTAAAATAAAAATGTGTGAAGATTTTTATTATGCCTAATTACTGACAAATAATAAACTTTAAATAAAGTGAATAACTGATATAAGTAATTTACTTAATATTTAATAAGCGAATATTCTTAATATATTGCAGCAACGTGAAGACATTATGATTAACGGAAAATTATTCGTTATTGTTTGTTGTGTTATCTTCATCATTGTTACCGAAGAGGATGAAAAAGAATCCTTTTGTATGGAAATTTGCGGTGAGATTTATAACTTTACGTTCAGATTTAATTTGTTAATTGTGCTTAAAAATTCGAAAATGTTTCTTTTTAGAAAATAAAATGGATTCTGTCTTTTGTCTTTTTTCCGGATTTACAGATGACGTAAGCATGTTTTGATTACTTTTAAATTATAATTGATGTAAATTAAACGAAAGTTCTTAAAATACAGATTCTTGACATCTTGTACGATTGTGCTCTACCGTTCATTCCTAATAATTCCAATTATTTTGCCATCTATTATATTTTCTTTTCGGGCGATGTGGTAAGTAGAAAATATATTCTTTATAAAGGATCATTAATAATAACTATTTTCTATATAAAGTACAATTTGTATTTACTACTAACACTAGTATTTTTGCTCGGTATTTTCTTTTCGTTTGAGAAGAAAACAGTGTTTAAGTTAGTTTTTATCAAAAAATTATTTTTACACTCAGCTTTTAAAAATTTCATTCACCATTTTCACCCTTGTTTACGCCATTTTATATTAGTGAACATTTAACTAATTTGTAAATATTTGATGCAAAATTTGAGATTTGTATAAGTTTTTATAAAATAATTTTTCTGTATTTAAATTAAATAGTAAATTATTAATACAATTTGTCTTAAAGACAATCGTTAAAATATTCATTAAATGATACGGTTTAATTAAAAAACTAAGTTTTACGTTCGAGTAGAGCTTTCCTGCAGAAATTTCTTTTATATTTTAGAATATAGCATACTACTTTAATTATGTCCATGCATTCGTAATGCATCATTATGCACTATGTAACAAATATTTTCTACATTTTCACTCAATACTTTTGTCCAATTTTAGTGCATTTTATGTTTAATGATTTATATTTTTTTGTTTTATTTTTAACATATAATTATAATGAAATACTAACCGTACTTATTTTTTCTTTATTTTTATTTAGGACATATACCCTATCTATGTAGACTGCGTGCTAAGCAACTTTACAGACGAACAGATCGATCACGTTTTAAACGTTGGACAAGTAAGTTCTTATACCTAACTTCCTAATAACACTGATCTATCGCTAGTCATCACCTTATCAAGGCGAGAAACGTAAGTACTGTAGTTCCAATGAACCGTACAGCATCGCTGTATAAAGCTTTCAGTAATGTTACTCATTACTAAGGGACTTTATGTTCAGTGGTTTTATGCACTGGACCACCGTTGAGCTTCCTAAAAATTGTTTAGAGAAGTAACAGGATCGAATTAATCCAAAAATTTTCTGATTTTTGTTTGTATTAATATACACATACTAATTTTACTTTTTGATTTATTTTCACACATTTTTTAAAGTTAATAATCGTTTGTATTATTTTCAGGACTGCTTAGTAAAATATAATGTCACTCACTTCCCGTAGAAGTTCTAAAATATTTTTTGTAATTTGGAAACATTCGAATGAAATCTTTATATTTTTATTCGCACTTATTGCTATATACAATGAAGAATAACGTAATTCACTTCTTTTCAATTAATTAATTAAAGTTTTAAAATGTTCTGACAGGTTATTAGTCCTACGTAATGTTGTTTTAAATGTATTAAAATAGTTTAATAAATTTTAATTATGCAAGAATATTCCCAATTGTTGACAATCTGTCTTTTGTCTGACTGTTGTCTGTCTATCGTTAAACTCGAAAACGTTAGATAGATTAAAATCGAGAGCAGATATGGAATATACAACGATTCTGAGATCCCAATTACTTGTATACGAACTGCCGGAGCTAATCACGAGATTTTTTTAAATTAAAAGATGAGTAAAAACTTCGGCTGGGCATTGTGACGGTGTTTATTTCTTTGTATTGCTTCACGTAAACGTATTACTTAAACACGAATATAATTTTAACAATATAATGTTTCTATTTTACATGAAAGAAAAAAAAAGTAGACATGCGTGTGAAAATGCAGTCAATACATATAGCACTTCTACAGCTACAAAAGATGTCAATAATTTCTTAAAATATTTAGAAAATTGATGAATATTTAGTTCTTCATTTTATTTTTCACAGTTCTATCTTTCAAGAACATTAAATATTCATTCTCATTTTGATGTTTATGAACTATGTCATATTTCGGGAGGGCGATTAATTAGTTAAATTAATATGTAGTTAGTTTGGAAGTGGTAAAACCCAACTTTCTTTTCTCACTACATGGCATTTATGATGTCCTCAGATCTGATAGATCAGTGTTTTTAAACCTGTGGGTCGCGGGTAAAAGAAAAACACAAGTGTTTATAGGTCCTACACTACAATCAAAAAAACTACAATTTCAGTGAGAAGGCTGTGCCTGTTTATTTTAGAGTACAATTGGTTTTTTGATCGATATTTAGGTCTCAACAGAAAGACACTTAAATACGTAGTTTTTAAAATCACTGACATCACTGACTGAATATGGCTGTGGGGAGTCGCCAGAATTTTTTAACTTGTAAAGAGGTTCGCTTATTCAAAAAGGTTGAAAAACACTGTGATAGATAACCGACGATTGAATTACTAAAAAGACAACGAAATTGAGAGGGCAGAAAACAACGGCGACATGGATAAACACCCGGGCTCAAAATATCAATTTCAAAACAAACATAGACAACAAGGATGTTCAAAGAGTAGGATTACGAAGAGTATTTACGGACGGTTGGAGGAGAGCAGAAGGAGTTTGTTGTGAGATCGCAATCTTTGACCCAAAAAAACATTAAGAATTATCAGGCTTGCTTTATAATAGCGAATTATTGCACAGTCACCCAAGTAGAGCTTTGAGGTATTTTCAAAGCCTTACAACATAGTGACAAAAAACTCCAATGATACAAGGGACGTACAATAATATACACCGACATCAGGGTAGTTATTCACCCCTGAAAACGAAAATAGAAGAACTTTACTTGCACACGAAATAATAGAATTGGCTCATAAAATTTACGGCAACAAAATACTCAAATTCCATTGGATCCCCAGTCATAAAGAGTACGATGGAAACGAGACTGCCGACATGTTGGCTAACAAAGCAGCAAAATGTAACCTTCCAATAACATATACTAGAATACAAATCAAAGCAGTTAAGCAAAAATTAAAGAAATAATAGATCAAAGATCGCAATAAGAATGGGAACACTCAAACACAGGTAGAACATTGTATCGCTTCATACTGACGATCGCCGCCAGAAAAATGTGTAGACATCTTAAACCTACTTACGAAGTAACTTAATGTTTACTAGGACACGGTAACTTTAATGAATATCTCTGTAGATTTGAAAAGAGAAATACCAATAAGTGCGATTCAGACAGTGACAGTATTGACGACGTGACATTTACACTAATTCCAGTGCAGCAAATACGAACATTCTGGTGAAAACTTTATGAGACAATGTGTTTTGGCTGGCTCAAATTGGCCACCAAAGCAGAAAATAAAATGTTATAAACTCTGTAAATTTTTAAAAGCAACGAAAAAACTGTCTGCAAAAGAAAACAGTCAGAATATCCACAAAAGTGGAAAAACTACTACAAGTGAAGAAATTGATTAAATTGATCAACAAACAACGGATCATTTTGTAGTCTACTTATTGTATATAATTGTATATATGTTACATATATTCACATTATAACTTTCGATGTAAACAAAGTAAATTGGTTTTTTTTTTTCTTGATTAATAAATTCTGTTTGAAGACCACTCTTCAGACCACTTTCCCTTCACCTCTTAATCTTTTATCTAATATATCACTATTACTCCTTCCTTCCTTTCATTTCTTTCAGGGCTAAGTCAGTCAAACACACAGACAGCCCTCTTAATCTTTACTCTAATGCAGTGGTTCCCAACCTTTTTTCATTAAGGTACTCCGTGACATGACATATCTCTAGATTGTACCCCTCATTTAAGAAATTTAGTGAGTACACGTATTGTTAATTTAACTTATTGTAACTTTAAAAAAAAAAGTAAATAAAAAAATGTATGATAAAGTTGTGATTGTTGCAAGGAACATATTTTACCTAATAATTTTTTAATACTATTAGTTTGTCATACATAATATATTATTTTTACTGCCATAATAACTAACTTTTTTCTGTACCCCTAAACAACCTATCGTGTACCCCTAGGGGTACGCGTACCACAGGTTGGGAATCGCTGCTCTAATGTAATGTTATTATTTATTGTATCATCTTCAAATACTTTCAAAATTTCAATATGTTTTCGTATTTTTCAGTTTATTTCATGATTTTCTGTCATTATGAACTTAATACATTTATATACAACTTCACAACCTTCCTTGTCTTAATAGTGTGGCAACGATAAAACTATTAAATTGTTTACGTAGCATATACGGAAACATTTTAGACTAGAATTGCTACTTATGTCATAGTGCTCTTGGTGAATTTTTGTGATTCATCCTTTGTAAAATATTTATTCTAATTTTGTTTCAGTCTTTCCCTGATACGATAAGCTCTCCAATTATTACAGCCGATTTTATTAAGCTAATAAATTTATACTGAATTTATGTTGTGAGCTAAAAGCTTTACGTAATAGTAAGAATAGTATGAGCTTTCTTCATAATTACTATTAATACCATCTTTATTAAGAAACTTCCATAATGTTTTGAAAATGTGATTCATGTCTGAATCGATGTCGTTTGAATGCACGAATATAATGACAATTTTAATCAATATCTATAAATTCTTTGACACGGTAAACAAGTAAATGCATTGCAATGTAAACTTAATAAATTAGGATGAGTTTCTATGCGTGACAAACATCACTTAAAAGACTAAAGAAGTTCAGTTTGGATAGCGAACGAATCGAATATCACGTCACTAAAACTACTGTCCTGAAATTCTATGAAATTTTGAGAAAATTTCCTGTTATATTTTGCTTTATCGGCTAGAACACTGCATCAGTCTGAACTCGAATATCGGAAAAAAAATCGCCTGAACTACTTCATGACATTCCGATGAATTACTATAGTGTAGATCCAATCGAAATTTGTTCTTGAAAACTACGAATTTGGGGTTTCAACAATCAGAGTTTTAAAAAGACGACATTCTATTTCTTCTGTAGTGCAAAAAATTACTATATTTTAATATGGCACTGATTACTAAGTTATGGAATTTTATTGATTAACGGAACAGGTATTGTTTTCTAAATTAATTTGCTATATACATGGTTGTTTTCTATGTTTCATGACATTTACAATATGTATACGTTTGAACTAGCTCTGAAAAATTCGTAATATTACAGCATACTTTTTAAAAGTATTCATCATTTTACTTTGTGTGGATCAATGTCGTTGTATCTTGAGATAGTCGTGAACAATTACTCAATATTTATTATTTCAAAATCAGAAAATTACCGTAAATATTGAAGAGTATTTAAAATATATTTTCAATAGTTTATTCGCTTTTCCATGGCAAATTCAACAAAACATGAAATTATTAACTCGTTTCGCACTCATTTTACTTTCTGTATACATAGAGTGGCTTTTTAAAAAGATATATATATGTACATTGCACGAGATTTTAGACGATAAATTTTCTCTCAGACAAATCAATATTTTCCATTAGTGTCATTAATAAAATTCTAGTAGATTTAGATTATGCATTTTTCTGATAAAAGGTATATGTTTGCTAGAAAAATATGTGGCATTTCAAAATGTCCAGTACATCGAAAATCATTTCCGGAAGCTCGTTCTGATTAAAACTAAACAGTGCTTCACTTTCTTATGCACACAACATGCACTGACCACATGCATTTACTTACACATAATTACTGTTTGGAATGTAGTTTCGATCTAGATCATTAACGTTCAAGGTCTTCGAATCGTAGATGTAACATCCACCTCTATTCGTCGATAAATTAACAGTAAATTTATTCGTTTATCTTACCTTTAACTTTAGTAAATGAAGGTCTTTCATGAAATACTTTACAAACGAAAAACTGTTTAAAAGACGTAAATTCGAGGATTTAGGTTGGATCGATTAATTGGATGACAAAAACATTTCATAATTTAAAATAGAATTTAATCACACTTCTAAAATGTGCGTAAAAATATTTATTTTAATTCGATTTTATTCGTTAAATACTTATTGCTTTTTCGCTATTGATAACGTTTCGGTATTTTGATTTTTCTTATTGTTACTGATGCTGTGATTAGTAACGATGTTGGATTTATAAAACAGAATTTTGTAATTATTTAATAATTTTAAATTTTGCAGATAGATCTTCATGTCCTCGCATGTATATCGATCGACGTGTGAATATTGTTGGTGATAAAGATGAATAATTTAAGGAAAACTCAATGTAAGTATGGAAAATACATCATGTGGTAAATTCAAAAATTGTAGTTTTATTAAATACAGCAATTATTTGATACACTGTGCATATTTATACACCAAAATTGAGATAAATTTATTTCGAATCGACAGAAATCAGTCGACTTATCACATGCAAAGTTTATACAAATTTTCATTGTTTGTTTTCGAACTTTGGGAAGAAATACAGTAAAATCTCTGGTGTCAAAGTCTTCATCACACGATAAGCTCATTTCAGCGAACTTTAAAGCTGTACTCCCTTCAGAATGTGAATTATTTAAATGTATATTGTAACACAAATATATATGGTGTTCTATATTATTGTGAGAACCGAGGGGATTAGTTGACCCCACTTACCGGCGGCTCTGTCAGAGGATGGCCTTATAGGAGGGCGAAATGAAACGTGTGGGGAGGTCAATGAGTAAGTCGACATGTTTCCAAA